AAGATTCCTAATGCTGCTTACAAAGGGCCTTGTTTGACTCGGAGAGGAGGCTGCGCCTTCCTTCACTGTATGGTAGCCCAGGCTGATTCTTTCCCTTCAGAGGTTTCCCTGTTCTACAATTAGCCTTCCCAACTTGTTTCTTCTTCTCTGCTGATGAAAGTGAGTGGGGTGGAAACACACACACACACACACACACATATATACACACACACACACACACACATGCATACACACATACATGCATATACACACACATACATACATATACACACATACACATATACATACACATACTCACACACATGCATACACACACATACATGCATATATACACACATATATATACACACACATACACATGCTCACACACACACATACACACACACATACACATATACGCACACACATACACACACGTACATGCATATACACACACACATGCATACACACACATACTCACATATGCTCACACACACACACGAAGATAGAGACAGAGAAGGGGAGAGAGTGTGACAGTGACAGAGACAGAGAGGAGCAAGAGGCTGCAGAGAGGAGGAAATTTTTAGAATGCTTTGTAGCAGTACAGGTCAAACACCAAGGAACGTGAAAAAAATTCAAATCAAGGTAATTTTAACAGAGTTTTAGACGCAACTTTTTTTTTTTTTTGCATTAGTTATCTCAATTGAAATATTAACTAGAAGTTACACTGTCCTTAGCCCTTAATTTTTCCCCTAGGAGTTCATTAAAACTTGTGTATATGTGTAGATCCTAGCTATACATATAATCGCTGCCTAAGTTTGTAGACATGATCCTAGTCAGATCCTAGCTCTAGATGCAATAGCTGCCTACATTTGTAGACAAAATCAAACCCCAAACCAAAACAACAAAACAAACAACAAAGCACAGTATCACTTACCAAATGGCCATTTCTGGTGTGTCATTTTTGAACTCTAACAGACCAGCTCGCATGTAACTGAATGTCTGCTTATTTGTTTAGCACTGGGGACCACATCCAGGGCCTTGTGTGTGCCAGGCAAGCCCTCTTCTCCTGAGTAACAGCTCACGCCCACACACAAATGTCCCTGCGAACCATGAAATGCCATTCCTGTACAGTTTCCGCTCATGACCAGAGTCCTACCACAGGAGTGCCAAGAGTGGTCAGAGAGGGCTAATGTCAGCTCTTGTCAGGATGAAGTTCCTCCACACGTGCCAGGAGGTCCCACCTCCCTCACACATGTGGTCACTTCCTCCCTCGTCAGCTTTACATTCCTCTCACAACTGAGAAAAATGGAAGCCAGAAAGATTGTTAGAATTTGTCAACTATCACACTTGCCATAAATAGAAGCCCAGATCCATCGGAATGGAGTCTGCCGAGTCCACTGACTTCTCCAGGCCACTTTGTAAACAGAGTGACAGTGAATGCTTTGTCTGCAGACTGTATTAACTCAGTTGATCTTGACACCTTTTGCTAATGTCCTGTCCTCAGCATTTAAGCAGTGGAGAGAATAGTTAAGACAACTTGAGGGGCCAGTGGGTGACCGACCTACGCTTTTGTGATTTGTCTAAGGTAGGGTCACATTTTTTCCCCCTATTGATTGGGAAGTTGAACCAAAATTAAAGGAGCCTGCAGGGGAAGAAACTCTCTGAGGAAAAATATGGAGGAGAAGAGGAAACAGTGGTAGTCATAGGAGGGAGGAGGGAGGGAGGGAGGGGGAGGGAGGGGAGAGGGAGGACAGGGGGAGGGAGGAGGGGGGAGGGAGGGAAGTTTTCAGACAGTCAGGATGTCCTAGGGAGGGGAGCTACCTACAAGGAAGGGGAAATGCTGTGCAATTCAGCAACTCAGAGAGCGAGGGGAGCAACAGAGAGATGTTAGCTCCAGGCAGCAAGTGAAGACAGAGTGGAGGAGGACATCAGCATCTTTGAGAAGTTTGGTGTAGGAAGGGGGGGGGGGGGAAGAGGGATTTAAAAGTAAAATTTGCGGAAAAGCTTTATTTGCTTGTTTGAAGGGAAGAGATGGCCTAGCACCGAGAGCTGAGGTAGGGGAGAGACAGTTCAAACATAAGAAACATAAATGGAGAGTACGGAAAATCTAGAACTTGAGTCTAGGGCATGTTGATGACTAGAAAGGTTTCTGTTTTTAATGCAACAGGAGTTGGAAATGAAGTTAGAAGGGGCAAGGGCAGGGAGGTTGGCGTCTTACCCAACCATTCTTTCTATAATCCAAGGCAAGAACATGGCTTGATATGGGGAGCCAGCAGGGGAGGTTGTTAGTCGAGTGTGATAAGACGAAACTGTCTAGACACAGTGAACAGAGCCGTGCTATGGTTGAACTCTGTAACATGTAAATGGCTTAAAGACTTAGCAGAGCAGATACCAATTTTAGAATCTAGCACAGCATAACTGAGACTCAGGGGTCTCTAAAAGCATTTTTTTTTTTTTTAGAGCCAGTGCCTGTTTGAGTCTGAACCCACATTTCCCAGAACTGAAGTGACCTTTGTTGGGTGCAGGTTGTAGTTAAGCCACCCCTGCAATGCTATACATTCGTCCTGTATCCACATTAACTGTTTTCCTGCACAGTGCTTTCTTGGCAGTCTGTAAAAGGCTTAAAAGAATTCATGCTTTTATTCAACACCATGTGCTAAACCGTTTCAAATATATTTGTGTTCTGGAGAAGCTAAACAGACCATAGAGAGGCTAAATAGAATATAAAAAAGCATGCATTGCTGGGTTGAGCAGAGACAGGGGTCAGGGGCCAGGACAAGCAGGCCGATCCTCTCAGGATCTGCCTAAGACAATCACACCCAAGCTCATCCCAGAAGAGCTGGATTCCCACCCAGAGTTACAGAATACACAGGGAGATAGCACATTGAGAAGATTGTTGGGAATGCTGAAGATGGCGGCATGGTAGGCATGTCCATCCTTGGCAACAGTTAATCCCTCTGCATAGTCCTTGGTCTAAACAGTTTCTTCCAGTTCATATTGTGTGTATCCAAAGCAGCATTTTGTTGTTTGGATCGACTCCAGTGATTACTTCTGAAAAGGAAAGGTATCACTCTCAAGATCCCTACTTTCCATGGCCTCACCTGAAACATGCTCAGGGACCTAAGAAGATGCCTGAACCAGGACTTGTCTGTGATGAGGAAATCCAGGGACTCACTGAGAAGCCATCTTCATGCTTTCGAACTCACGTGTCCATCTCTCGGTAGAATTTTCGAGCAGCAAGAAAATATTTGATGTGTTTTGGCAATCAGCGGGTCAGACAGAAGAGCTGTGCAATGAGGGTGTGTAATCTGACATGATTAGACAAGGCTCTTTAGTACCAGAACATTCATAAAGACACAAAGAAAGAGTATTAATAACACTTTCGCAGCAAGGCAGCTAGCCATTTTATATTTCCTTTCTTTAATCTTAGTGTTTTTCAACAAATCGTGGGATTTAATAGCGTGTTTTGGCAGATTAGAGGATTTATGGCCCAGATGTTTTTTGTTCTAAAAATGGATTAGGGTGTAAAGTTTGCTGGAATCCGCGGAGCATGTTGAGGCAAGCCGGTCATTTTCTGTGTGATTAGTGCCTGCCTTCTGTCTCACAGCCCCTCCATCTGTCGCAGCTCACCAATAGATCTGCTTAGATTCAGCCTCATGTCACAAACAAGTCCCTTTTCTGGGCAATTTCATATTACCCGTCTACCCTATGCCATTTTATGCCCCAGTTAAAAGACAGATAGATGATAGATGATAGATAGATAGATAGATACACACATACATACATTCATACATTCATACATACATACATACATTCATATATACATACATACATACATACATACATTCATACATACATACATACATACTATTAGCCAGCATTTAGATATTTGCAAATGTACTGGCTAATTTTTCTCTCAATTTTCTTCTACCCTAAAATAATGCCTTCTGCACAAGAATGCACAGCAAATAAACAAATAGCAATAGTTCAGTTGCGATCAAGTTAAAAATCACCTTAGTTCCTTCCCTCCCTCCACTACCCTTTAAAACTACTGCAGTGAACTTTCTCTAAGTCTGATTTGGGGAGTTTCAGACCCGAGCTGACCACCCGACTGTCTCATGGAGACCGAGTTGACAGTGTCTACGGTGTCTGACCAACTGCAGGGTCTTGGTGGCACTCTGTGCTTGAAGTCTAGTCTTGTTGCTCTTAGGAGTGTATGACGAGCAGCAGACCACTGTAGTTCATGTCCACAGCAAGTGGATTTACAGGGGGAAAGTGTCTCTTCCAGCCATCTAATAGTGATTCACTCCATCTGTCAGTCACAGGCCTGACTGTACTAGCCACAAACTCTGACCCGGCTCTTCTGATGCTATGAGAGACTTGGTAATCACGGTGGTAATTACCAGTGTACAGATCTCACTGTAGAATGCACATGACCTCTGCATGGGGGTGAAATAAAAACTGTATTTTTAAGCTTCGGAATTCTAAATGCTCACTGGTTAAGGCCATGTATACTCTTGCAGAGGACCCATGTCTGCTTCCCAGTAGCCATGTTTCCACAGTTTACAAACATGTTTGACTCCAGCTCTAAGGAATCTGAGGACCTCTTCTGGACTCTGTGGGTGCTGTACTCACATACATGGACACACAGAGACACACACAAGCACGCGTGTGCACAGTATTCAAAACAAACTCAATCTTTAAGATACACTCAGGTATTGACTTAAAAATGTAGATACAATTTTATTTTAAGTTTGTATTTAGAAGAGCATATTTTTTTTTTTTTTTTTTTTTTTTTTTGCTATGGGTATTTGGCAGTTGTTATCACATGTGACTGTGTGAATCGGTCATCCCCAACTGCACAGTCATTTATTCATTACAGATGGGCTTCATGAAGACATTAGGTTCCTCCAGATCCTAGCCACCATCGCCTCTCCCAGCCAAGAAGTATGGCCATGGCCAAAGTCAGCCTGTCCCTCTCCCATGCATTTTGTACATTTGTTGTGTCTCATCTCCAGGTTATTTAAATGACCATGATGCTGTCACCAAGGCAATCCAAGAAGCTCGACAGATGAAGGAGCAGCTCAGGCGGGAGCAGCAGGCGCTGGACGGGAAGGTGGCCGTAGTGAATAGCATAGGTCTCAACAACTGCCGGACAGAAAAGGTTAGTGCAGGCAGCGCTCGTCTCTCTAGGAGTGCTGTGAACACGGGTTCCTCTTCCTCCTATCACCTGTCCTTACTGTCTTCAGAATGACAGCTCCTCCTTGCCCCCACCCCCATTAGCAAGGCGCTCTGGAACCCATCCAAATCAAAGCAGTCTATCTATGGGAAGTGTCAGAACACTATAGCGTCCCCAGACCTTACTGGGGATGAGCATCGGCCCTTCGTGCTGCCAGTTTATATGAAAACAAAGTGGCATTTGAAATGATGTGTCATCGGAGGGAAAATTTTGCCTTCCAGAGATACTTGACTTGTATTTGGGGATCAGCTGGATTTGAAAACACGGAATCTTCTTTAGTCAGCCTAAGCTTGGATGATACCCTGGCTCCTAACACTGAAGTGTTAGGGGCTGCAGAATTGGAAAGTTTGACTTCATCATGACACAAAATGTGCTTTGACCTTCTGTATTCTACCCAGAGCCAGCAGAGCTTCTAAAGTAGCCATGGACACCATGGCTTCATTTTGTCTTTGCATGGAAGCTTGGTTTCACGTAGGGAAAAATGTCACTATAGCATGCTCGGAGTGGTACACTTCTTTGGTTAGTATCTGAATGAAAATGTTGGTGACTGAAATTCTATCATCCCACTGATCCTCGTGATTAGCTATTAATCAATGGTTTCCAAGTCCATATCCCTGAGGAGCACATAAGTCCCTCAGAAACTTCTCCGAATGAGCAACCTGCTCTGACCAGTAGCTCTCTAGTTTGCTATGTGTTGTACAGAATTAGGTAAAGTGCCCAGAGTACAGCACGGGGGAATTTGGGACACACCCCTTCCCAGCTGCTACCCTCCTGGGTCCTCGCACGAGTAAATACCCAGGACGGAGAAACACGTCCACTTCTGGAGGCAGCAGCATGATCCGAATGCCCTCCCCCGGGGCCTGTAGCTCTCAGGATTCGATTTTTGTAGCCCAGTGCAGTGCAGACTCTGGGACTACAAGGGGCAGCAGGAAGAAACATGATAGCAGCCCCAAGAAGGAATGAGAGCAAGCATAAAGGGAATTTATGTTCAAATATTTAAACATTCTTGAAAGGACGCTCCAGCAAGGAAACCCTTTCCTCTGCTGCTCCCCGTGTAGGAATGAGTTTAACACTTGGCCAGATGCTAACGCAAAGTGACGGGGAGCTATTCCTCGCAAGCATAGCTAAATTGCCGCTATTTGTTAAGCGCTTTGAATTCAGCTGTGGTTGTGGCAGTTGGTTGTATTCCGTGAACATCTGTAACCCTCCCCCTTGGTTCTAATCCTCCAAAGCAGAGACAACTCTACCTATCTCCCCCACACTCCCCTCCCTCGTGCTGGCTGGGAATTGTCAAGTGACAACCAACCAAATCCTTTTGGACAGGAAGCCTTCATCCCGAATTCTATATACTTGCAAAATAGGTCTTGTGGGTTGGATCCGGGAGCCCATTAAAAGCACTTTGATGGTATGGAAATCCATCTTCATGAAGTTCCCGAAGCCCCTAAGCAGCAAGCTGTTTAGCTGTGGTTACAGATCAGTCGTTCACATCGGAGGGCAATAATTGTGCTGACGGCTTGTAAGGCAACAGGAGTACATAAAATAATCCTGGGCCCTCCACCATGGCAATGGGAGTTAATCCTCTCTAACACAGATCAGCTGTTGCTCTCGTGCTCGGCTTCAGTGAGTCCACAGCCTTCTGATTAAGTAACAGCAGCGCAGATGCCTGCACTCCGGCTAGTCCAGGCTCATCCACGCCTAGAGGGCCTGGATGCCACATCTCATCCAACGTCGACACCCGTGAGCATTTTATTTGACCTCTCTGGTTAGTGCCTCCTGTTTTGAGTGGCAGGCCTTGCCATCACCTTTGCTGGGAAATACTCCTTCAGCTTTCCCTCCTCTTAGGTAGAGTTGTAACATCAAAAAAAAAAAAAAATCTTTTTTATAAAATATATTTTTGAAGTAATGACCTGCCAATTCCTGCCAGTGAGCTGAGTCACTGCCACTAACCTCAAGGTCGTTACTGATTAACTTCGAAATCTTATTATTTTTATCTCTTCAGAATTATCTTTTGAAGTTTCGAACCGGGCAACTGTGTGGATGGGTGAATGCATGTCTGAGTGGATGTGCACGAGAATACAGGGTACCCACAAGCAGAACAGTGGAGCTGGAGTTACCAGAAGTTGTGAGCCACCCGACTGGATGCTGGGGACCAGACTCTGGTCCTCTGCAGGCCTGCGTTCCTGAGCACTGAGCCTCCACTCTCTCTATGATCCATCAACATGCTTTCTATCCGTGTTGAAGGGCAGCTCTTATGGAAGTGAACCCCTTTCTGTCTAGTGAGCACTGCAGCTCGTAGGAGAACACAAGTGTACGGCAGAGCTGGGCAGCAGAGACACTGTGCACTCTGGCTTCCTGTTCCTGTCTGATAAACCCGGGTGTCAGTTCTGTGCCGATCAACCTATGTCCCTGTAGCCTACAGCAAGGTGATGATTAATGTCAAATTGGCATCTCTGAAAAAGAGACTGTTCAACATTCACACCCACTGTGTGCTTACAGACAGTCCTGAGTGTTGGGAGCTTGGTTCTGAACGATAAAATACAAACCCTCCTGGCGATTTAGGTATAATTATTAGCTGAACACCTTTTATGTGTGAGTCCCATCTATCAAAAGTGGGTACAGACCCTGGTTGCTTAGCATGTCCTATCAGTTATTTGTGGTGACTGAGGTGAATACTTGTGACTCATGAACAAATACCCTGTACCTTGATTGTCTTTCCCAAGTTCCTGCCCTTCTCTTAGGCTTTTTCATAATCATGCATCTCCATCCAAGGTCAGTTCATATGCAGGTTAGTGGTTAGCCTGAAACTTCCCATTGTACTTCCCCAAGAAAGGCACCTTATGAAGTCCTTCCACATTTTTCACGAGCATCTTCTCATGCTATCTGAGGTCCCCGAAGAATGCTATTTGCTGCCAACAGTAGCCATCCCTGGGCTAGAGAGATTGCTCGGTGGTTACCAGTGCTGGTTTCCAGCACACACACGTCAGCAAGCACTGGAACTCAAGCTCTAGAGGATCTACCCCTCTCCTGGCCTCTTAAAGGCACCTGTATATTTGTGCTCACACGCACGCGCACACACACACACACACACACACACACACACACACACACACACACACACGCGCGCGCGCGCACACGCACGCAAGTCGATGATAAATGTGAAGACAGGGGTAAGGCAGAAGGATGCTAGGGGCTGAGAACAGAGCAGAAGAGATTGAAAAAAGCAAACTATCCCCATGCTGTACCCTGACCCACAGAGATGTAGGGAGACAGCCGCAAGATCCAGATCACTGAAGTCCTGTCCTGGAGACCTGTTGCCTTGGTGTACAAACCTTACGCTTGTTGACTTTTCTACACATACGCAAAGCATGGTTGTCCCAAGTAGAAGGTCTCAGTTCTGCGTAGCTGTAATTGGCCGGTGAAAACAATTAGAGGTGTGAAGACGAGGACAAATGTTTGCCGGGTGATATGTACTGAAGCACACGATAAAAGTCATTTTTACTGGAACACATTTTAATTGAAGACTTCTAAAAGATTTTTTTTTCACTTCTTTACTTTTTCTTGGAAGTGTTTCAACATTACCCAAGAACTGTGTGTGTCAGGTTTCTTGGAAACTCTGGGACACAGTGTTATTTTTAATTGTCATCTCTGGTTAATTATAGACTGATTGTATATTCAAATAATGTTATCTTCTGCCACAGATCTCTGCTACAGATGACACTGTAGCATAAACCTCAGTGTTAAGGGCAGGAAAGGAGGCGTCTCAGGTAGGAAGAAAGAGAAGTGTTTGAAGCTGTGCCTCCTTAACCCAGACAGGGCAGACTCTTGACCACACAGGCAAGAATTTGTTAGCAGGCTCTTGGTCTGGACCTGGCAGTAACTGCCAGGCATTGTGTCTCCAACAGAAAGTTGAGCATACACCTGCAGGGAGAAGCTAACAGAAAGTCCCCCGATCCTTTCTCTCCTTCCAAATGTGGCTCTCCTGGGAAGGGTGGACCCCATGCTGTTGTGTCTGTTTGAAAACATGGTTTTCAGCAGACAAGGGTAAATGGAAGTTCAGGAGCATAAATAGTATTTAATCACTATCAACTAAGAGTGTTCCGAGGCAAAAGTTAGTCATCCTTTGTTTATCAGCTCCATGATTTGTGGGTCACAATCTCTGTGACTCTTGATGTATTTTTCCCTTTGGGTCACAATGGCTGATGCACCTACAACTAAACCATCCATGCCCATATGCTTCAGGGGATGGGGTCATTTTCTCCTTGCTAAGCTCCATTCACATGGGCCTCACTCTGCTGGCTAGCTTCCACAAATGTCTTCCTGGCTAGAAGTGGGTCATATGAATTTAAGGAAATCCCTTTAAGTTGCTCACAAATCCTTTTCTGTAATGGAATTAGAGAATATCTCCCACTCTCTCTGAGATCAAGGGACACTTTGAAATCAAAGGTGGTCTTAGCAGAATAAAAAGGAAATGTCAAATAGGTGTTGGACAGGAAAAGGCAATCATCAACCCTGGCTATAGCATGAAAGTAGCACTGGGATCCACAAATGCTCTATCAGCCCGGGGTGTTCTTCATAACCATGGCCCCTCCCTACCTGTAGTGCTCTCAAAACTAGACACCCGGGGCTTTATATCTCACCTGAGGCTCACTCACAAGAAGTTAAAACACGCCAAAACATGGGCGCAGGAAAACACTCCCGATGCTAGCTTAAGACCTCTGACTCTGTGTTCACATACGTGCTTCCCATACACGTTGAGAACTTCTGTCCTGCTTCTGTTTCATGGAAAGTAAGGAATGTAAGTGTGTAAATGTATGCATTTATTTCTTAAGATTAAGACTTTGTTTACCCAACATGCTCTACAGTCCTTGTGCTAGCAACATTGCACATGCTGGAAATTCATCTATGATTGCAAATAGCTGCCAGGA